GAGTTGGCAGTTCAAATCCACCAGCTGCACTATGGGAGAAAGATGAGGTGTTCTTGCTTCCATAAATATTTGTTGTTATTAAGTACTGTCAAGTCAGTTCTGACTCATTATGACTCTGTATAGTGTTTCTGAAGCTTTAAATCTTTGAAGGAGCAGAAAGCCTCATCTTTCTCCTGTGGAGCAGCTGGTGGGCTTGAACTGCTTGTCTTGTGATTAACAGTCCAGTTCATATCCTACAAAGTCACAGCACTCCCATAATATTTACAACCTTGGAAACACTATACAGGGTTGCTATGCATTGGAATAAGCATCAAGTTTGTTGATGTTTATTCCAATTCAATGAGTGAGAAGGAGCATTTCACACTCATAGTTACTAGAGTTGGAAGTAATGTGTTTCACATGGCCATTAGTAAATAGAATTGGATTAGTACTGTATGTTCTTTGATTTTTGACGTGTCTTTTTTTTTTTCTTCTATGTTTTGCAGCTTGTAAAAATGGAATTTCAAGCAGTGGTGATGGCAGTTGGAGGAGGATCTCGGATGACAGACCTGACTTCCAGCATTCCCAAACCTCTTCTCCCAGTTGGGAACAAACCTTTAATATGGTACCCATTGAACCTGCTTGAGCGTGTTGGATTTGAAGGTGAGCTGTAGCAATGAAATGTTGTAAAACTTTTGGGATGTGTGATACCTATGATTTGTTAGCATTATGAGGGTAAGAGAAGATGAATGACAGGAGATGAAGACTCAAAGTTGGTTGGCAACTCTCCTACTTACGTAATAAAAAGAGCAAATTGGTCATTCAAGTGCTTCATACTTACTGAGAATCTATTACGTGCCAGGTAATATGAGGGTAAGTCAAAAAGTATTGCTACTAGGGATATAGTTCATACATGTACAGATTTATCCCAGACAGATCCAGATACATTTGTGTATGTGTCTATAATCAGTGGATGGCTGCAACAAAGTTCTCATAGTAATACATTTGTCTTTGTTTTGTTAGGGTGCCTTCAAGACAAAGGTCCAATCAAAACAGTGACTTTTGAGGGAATCTGCTTGGCCAGTTAAATTTAAGGCAAAGAGATCAACTCAGGATGTTATGATGACTGTTTTTTTGGATCCCAAAGTGGTAATCTTGATAGGTTTTCCTGAAGGGTACAGAACAATCACGGAGGTTTCTTATGAAGATGTTTTAAGGGAATTGAAAACTATTGATGAGAAAAAGACCAGGACAATTACACAGAAGAATTTTTTTTCCGTCATGACATTGTACCTGCTTGTTTTTCCAGGTAGCAAAGGCTGTCCTA